AATAAGTTAAATTAAACTATATGTAATAAAATAATTAAACATATTAAAATAAATTAAATTAACATATTAAATTAAACTAAATTATATTATATTAAATTAATTTATACACAATAAATTAATTTAAATTAAATCGTAATAAGTTAAAATAAACTATATGTAATAAAATAATTAAACATATTAAAATAAATTAAATTAACGTATTAAATTAAACTAAATTAAATTACATTATATTAAATTAAATTATACACAATAAATTAAATTAAATCGTAATAAATTAAATTAAATTATATGTAATAAATAAAATTAAACATATTAAATTAATTTAAATTATAATTATATGTATTATTTTAAATTAAACTGTACACAACAAATTAAATTAAATGAAATTGAACTATACAAAATTAAAATAAATTAAAAATTAATTAAAATAAACCAAAAATATCAAAATAAATAATTTAAATTAAAAAATCATGCAAAAATAATTAAAAAATCAAAAAAAATTAGAATAATTTTAAAAGTATGTATAAAAATAATTAAAAAACGTATAAAAATACTTATAAAAAACATTTAAAAAAATATCTAGAAATAATTTAATTTAATAAAATAAAATAAAATTATCAAAACAATACCAAAAATATTAATTTTAAAAACATAAAAATTAAAATAAACACTTAAAAAACATATAAAAATAATTAAATTACTTAAAAATTATATAAAATAATTTAATTTGATAAAATAAAATAAATAAAACAAAATAACAAAAATTAAAAAAAAAACATAAAAAATAAAATAATAATAATAAAGTAATTTAAATTAAAAAATAAATAAATAAATGATAATAAAGTAATTTAAACTAAAAAATAAATAAATAAAATAAGTATAAAAAAATTAAATAAAATGTATATAAAACAAAAAGACAATTTAAATTAAAAAATATACAAAAAATAATTTAATAAAACGTATAAAATAATAAAAAATAATTTAAAAATTATAAAAAAATAATTTATAAAATGTATAAAAAAATAAAAAAAATTAAAACCATATAAAAAATAATTTAAAAAATATAAAAAAATAATAAAAAAGTAATTTAAATTAAAAATACATAAAAAAATAAATTAATAAAATATAAAAATAAAAAATAATTAAAAATACAAAAAAATAATTTAAAAAACGTATTAAAAACAAAAAAATTAAATTAAATTAAAAAAAAATAAAAAATTATTTAATAAAACGTATAAAAAAATAACCCTAATTTAAAAAATATAAAAAAATAAAAAAAATTTAATACCATATAAAAAATTAAAAAATAATAAAAAAGTAATTAAAAAGTTAAAAAGATTAAAAAAAATAACAAAAAATGTATAAAAAAAAATAAACTAATAAAACGTATAAAAAAATAAAAAATAATTAAAAAATTAAAAAATAATTTAAAAAACATATGAAAAAATAAGAAATAATTTAAAAACATTTAAAAGAACAAAAAATAATTTAATTTAAAAATAGATAAAAAAATAATTTAATAAAACATATAAAAAATAAAAAATAATTTAAAATATAAAAAAATAATTTAAAAAACATATAAAAAATAAAAAATAATTTAAAAACATAATAAAAAAATTAAAAAATAATAAAAAAGTAATTTAAATTAAAAAATACAAATTAATAAAATGTACAAAAAAATAAAAAATAATTAAAAAAATGCAACAATATAATTTAAAAAATATATATAAAAAATAAAAATAATTTAAAAACAAATAAAAAACTTAAAAAATAATAAAAATTAATTTAAAATAAAAAATAAAAAAAATAAATTAATAAAATGTATAAAAAATATAAAATTAAAAAATATAAAAAAATAATCTAAAAACATAAAAAATTAACCTTAAAAAAATTTAAAAATATTACAAAAAATATATAAAAAAAATAAATTAATAAAATGTATTAAAAAATAAAAAATAATTAAAAAATAATTAAAAAATAAAAAATAAATTAATTTAACTTAAAAAATAGATAAAAAATAATTTAAATAAAATGTATAAAAATAAAAAAATAAATTTAAATTTTAAAACAAATTTAGGTTCATTAGAACCCAATACAGATTTATTTGAACTTTATTCAGGTTTATTTGAACCTGATTTGGGTATATTTGAACCCCATTCAGGTTCGTTTGAACCCAATTTGGGTTTTTTGGACCCAATTTGGGTTCAGTGAAACCAAATTTGGGTTCGTTAGAACCAAATTTAAGTTCATTGGAACCTAATCCGGATTCTTTGACCCCAACCCAGGTTCTTTAGAAACTAATTCGGCTTCTTTGACCCAAATTCAGGTTCTTTTGAGCACAATTCGGGTTCTCTGACCCAAATTTGGGTTCTTTTGATCCTAATAGGGTTTTCTAACCCAAATTTGGGTTCTTTTGACCTCAATTCAGGTTTCTAACTCAAATTCGATTTTTTAGAACCCAATTTAGGTTTTTTAACCCAAATTTGGGTTCTTTGACCACAATTTGGGTTCTTTGACCACAATTTGGGTTCTTTAACCACAATTTGGGTTCTTTAACCCCAATTTGGGTTCTTTAACCCAATTCAAGTTCTTTTGAATTTAAATTGGGCTTATGATTAAGATTTAAAAATAAAAAAAAAGTAACTTGAACTCAGATACTACAAAGTTTTAAAACTAATATAATTTAGGTCTAAGAATTAGCAAAAAATTAGAAACTCAAACCTAGTTAATAACCAGGTCTTATAAGCTAATAATGTTGAGTCCCAAAAATAGAAAAAATTAGAAACTCGAACCTGATCAATGACTGGGTCTTATAGGCTAATAACATTGAGGCCTAAGAGTTAATAACATTGAGGCCTAAGAGTTAATAATGTTGAGGCCTAAGAATTAGCAAAAAATTAAAAACTTGAACCAGGTTACTGACCAGGTTTTATAAGCTAATAATATTGAGGCCTAAGAGTTAATAATGTTGAGGTCTAAGAATTAGCAAAAAATTAGGAACTCGAACCTGGTCACCAACCAGGTCTTAAGAGCCAATATAATTTTAAACTTAAAATTTATAAAAAAATTAAAAATGCAAATTTAAATCAATATCCAAGGCCTAAGAGTTAATAACATTGAGGCCCAAGAATTAGCAAAAAATTAAAAACTCAAACCCGGTCACCAACCGGGTCTTATAAACTAATAATATTGAGACCTAAGAATTAGCAAAAAATTAGAAACTTCAACCCGGTCACCGACCAGGTCTTATAAACTAATAACATTGAGGCCTAAGAATTAGCAAAAAATTAGGAACTCGAACCCGGTCACCGACCGGGTCTTATAAACTAGTTTGACATCTATTGTATAATTATATTAAACTATAATCAATATATGTAATATATTAATAAATAAAATATTACTATTAATATATAAATAATTTCTTGTTATCTGGCATGATGTGATGGATGATAGCAACGCACGTGGCCTTCGGCAACGTGCTTTTGCTATCATCCTGCCGAATACCCATGTATCCTCATGGGCAGACATTCGTATGATTGGCAGTTTAAATCAAATTAATTTTACGTTATTTATACCGTTTAAAGTACTACGAATAAACAAAAAAGAAGTATATAGAAAGGTTTATTGGGGTTGTAGGACTCCACTATTAAAAATAATCAAATTTCTTTTTTGTTTTAGAGAAGTTAGCATAATAACGACTTCTTAAAGATAGATAAAATTAGGTTATCACCATGCTAACTTCTCTAAAACAAAAAAGAAATTTGATTATTTTTAATAGTGGAGTCCTACAACCTTCTTTTTTTGTTTATTCGTAGTACTTTAAACGGTATAAATAACGTAAAATTAATTTGATTTAAGAGCCAATCATACGAATGTCTGCCTATGACATGTATCCATCACATCATGCCAGATAACAAGAAATTATTCAGTCAAACCAATATGTGCTCACTGTTCTTCCCATCTGTCGTAAATAATTATAAGAGGAATTATGGAAATAATTCCACAAATGTTACATTTTTTTAATTTTACAACGATTAGAAATTGTGGAATTACTAATTTTAGTAAATCTACAATACAAGTATACCACAAGCGTAGATTGAAATTCCATATTTGAAAGATTGGTAAATATTAACAAATCCACACGTTTCGAAAATAAAAACGTTGTGGTCACTAGTCGTAAAATGAGGTTGCTTTTTAAATTCGAACTTATAAAAAAAAAATACGAAAATCGCCAAGCCCTTTAAAATTTAATGACTTCCAGAACATTTAAGATTCGATTTATTTTTATTTTTGTGATCCTATTTGTGACTTTTCATTTGATTAAAGATAAAAAGCCCAAGAATGTTAATAATTTAGTAACCAATAATGAAAAGTATTTAACCTATCTTCCCCATGATGGTTTCAATAACCAAAGAATTGCATTAGAAAATTCAATATTCTTGGCATGGTTTTTAAACAGAGCTCTAATAATACCACCTCTCATTCTTTTCAAAGGAGGTGCACCATATATAGGCCGGTCATATAATAAAAAATATAATTTTTTATCACAATTTATACATTCTAACAAAAATAAATTTAAACGCTGTAAAAGCGTATTGAGATGTAATAATACTTTATGTTTTCAAGAAGATCAAAAGAATTGCAGTATAGTAACTTATACTGTATATAATTGGGAATAATTAATAGATTTTACATTTATGAAAGATCATATTAAATATATTCATCGTCAAAATTTTGATTTTAATCACTTATTAGAATCACTTCATATTAATAATAGTTCAGACGTATATAATGTGACTGAAGACAAAGGTCAATATCAACAACGATATTATGATGATCCTATATCAACAATCGAACTCGATAAATTTAAAGAACGAGTAAATTTAATCGACTTAGGCAAAAGATCCGAAAAACTAATACATTTTGGAAGTTTATTTTCATCAAATAGAAATGTTCGACAATTACCTGAAAGTATTGAATTTTGGAATAAGTTAATGAGGAACATGCTACCAAATAATCCAATTATAAATTATATTGCAGATAAAATCATTGATAAGATTGGAGGAATGAATAGTTATATTGGTGTACATCCTAGATTAAAAGATAGCTTCTTTGCCAAGAGACGAAATAATACAGTACAAGGACTCATCGAAAAAATTCAAACAGATTTCAAAGATGGAGTTTGTTTAACAACAAAAATATATCTGGCAATAGATATAAAACGAGATCACTCCTCCCTTCAACCATTCTTTCAAACATTCTCATGTATTTACGTATTGGATGATTTTAATGATCTTTTAGAACCTTTAAGATTTTTAAAAAATCCTAGGGATGGTATGATTTTGTATGATTTTCTAATACCGTTAGTAGATTTGATAGTAGTATCAAAAGGCAGTAAGTTTTATGGAACTGAAAAGAGCACTTTTTCAAGTTATGCTAAACGATTAAATGAAGCATGGATTAGATGATTTAACAATAGTTGTACAAAATTCTATTATTTTGTAATTTATCAGTATACTATTATATTAGCTTAGTATTGTTTCTTATTCGAACCATTATGATTCAACAATCATAATTTTTTTTCGTATCATAATAGTTTTGATTTTTAGTGAACTTCAACTTTTAACTGCATTTAAGATTTTAAATAAATTACAATCTTTAATCACATTTTCAACTTTTAACTTTCATTAATGCTTTTAGTTTTTGCCCTATAAGAAAAGTGGTACGTGTGGTGGTACGGGTTGGTTTCGGGAATGTACGAAGTGGCTCGGATTGTGTGGCACGCACAGGCACGTTTTACGGAGTGGCACGGACATTACGGCAAGGGGTGACACGTTATATCACGTCATACGGAACAACACGTTCAGATGACACGTATGTGCACGTTGCGCACGTGTTGGCTCGTTTCGCGGAGAGCGAAAGATCAATAAATGATTTTTTTTTTAAAAAAGTGTAATATCTCATAATTTCACTGACAAAGCTGTTCTGAGTATCTTAGCAAAAAAGATTCCTTACAAAATTTTACTTTATATGCAGCTAGTATGTTCGTATTATATTGATTACTAATGTAAAATTTATGTTTTTATCATTAATCCACATGTTTGTTATTTGTTATCGCGGTGGCACGTGAATTTACGTCTCATTACACGTGCCAAATCCCGTGCCGATTCGACTAGTAAACTGCTGCAAAACCCGTGCCATTTACGGTCCAATTGGCACGGGCATACGGGTCCCACACGGACCACAGAATCCGTACCTACTCGAACCATACCGTACAAATCCGGATCTTGACCCGTGCCACAAAGGCCCGTACCTATCCGAAACCAACCCGTACCGATCCGATACATTTTTCTTATAGGGTTGGAGAATTTACTTTGTAATTACTAGAGATTGTACCCGTCAAGAAAATCTTATCCGGTTACCCGGGTAATTTATTATAGCCATATAATAAAAATGTTTACCCGGGTACAATCTCTAGTAATTACATCTTTATTTTTAGCAACACTGTAAAACTTTTTACAAAAGGCAGGAGATGAAACAATATGATAAGAAGTTGAAATATTTATAAAAAAACTCCAAGCCTTGATAGAAGACAGAGTAATAAGTAGGGTCCGAAATGGGCCGGGTCAGACCCGCAAATTTGCGGGTCGGGTCGGGTCTGGGCCTAAATTTTAGACCCGTAAATTGATTGGGTCGGGTTTGGGCCGGGCTAAAAAATAC